AACATGCTCAGGGAAAACAGAGGCTCCTTCCTCTGGATTAATCATTTTAAGATGTGCCAGTAATGGCAGAGCTAGAGAAACTTGATAGTTATTCTTCTAGGATGCTCATGACATTGTCCATTCATCTTTGTCCTGTTGATGAGGGAGAACTCATGCGGAAAAATTGACGTGGTCTCTGGAACAACTTGACGTTTCTGCCTGAAAGTAAATGTCAGACGAATTGATCGAATTAGTTAAAAGATCTCAGAATTGATTGAATTATCAATTGCAGTCTCATCCTATGGAGATAAATGAAAACCAACGTAATCCATTTCCATTCTCTTTTGTTCTTTTATAAATCAAACTTCTTCCATGAAGGATAGCCCCACCATTCAGTTAAAATAATCATTCTTGCTTTCCAAATAATTTAATCATTGTCACTGTATGCAATTGATCTCAAAATAATTCAGTCATTTTATCTTTATTATGCAATTTGATCTGTTTTACATTGTCCACATTGACTTGGGACTTAAAGCAGACACTTGTTGTATGGAGAACATATGGTTAATTTTAAGTGGGTTCTTATGCTTCATTTTCCGTTACCGGTCGTGGAAGACCTGGTGAACCACAACCGTCAAGATGGAATTTGTCAAAATATAAAATAAAATGGAGGTTTATGAAATGGCAAACAAAAAATTAGCTCAAGATTGATATGAGAAACACTAAATGAGTACACTGTACTTTTGATCAGGTAAACTGTTCTCAATGCTTATGGATTCGAGAGCTGGCAACGAGATAATCACAACATCTAGTGTTGATCCTCAGGGGTATTAAATTTTAAGCGAATAAAAGTGAATAATTGTGACTGAACTTAGTTATATCTTGGAAGCACTCCACTTGAAGGTTTCATACATGATCTTGTTTTTCTATCTTCTTTTCATTGTAGTCATAGGTTACTCTTACTGTCAAAATTTTCAGGATGAGATCCTAGATAGGATTATTTGGTGGTTGCAGTATCTGCTTTTAGATTTTTTTTTGATGAATTCTGCTTTGGAATTTTTTGATCCTACTGAAAAGAATGCGATCTATTTTTCCTCAACTAATAAGTACTTAGGAGTTATAATTAATCCTAATTATGTGAAATAAACTTGAAATATAAGAACTTAGAGAAACTTATTGAAATATAAAAAATTTAATATAAACAGTGCAAACACAAGTTCGTGTATTGAAATTCAATATGATGTAAATACAGTTTAGCGTTGGTATTTCTTGCAAACTGCATTAGGTAAAAGTAGTAGTCACATTTGTAATGTTCAATGCTTGATCTTACTTTATTACGTCAATGATCAGGTTCTTTTGGGATCAATGGGTGCTCTTTCACTTATGACAGTTCTCTCTGTCATAATAGGGCGAATCTTTCATTCAGTACCTGCTCAGTTTCAAACAAGTAAGTTAGACCTTGGGACTGTTATTTCTTTTTGCTTTTCATTTTCTGATTGGCTCCTTTGAATCTCTATTTATTGACACATCTTGCTTAGCATTTTTTGCTGAAAGAACTTATCCTAGACTCGAATCATGTTCTTAGTTAGTAAAAGTAAGCTATTGATTTCATTGGCAGAAAGTGTACTGATAAGCTGTAAGCTTTTTAGGTACATTATGACTAGCTGGTCAAGTGTGTCGATCCACCGGATAAAATAACCTAATATTCTCACTGAAAGTTGGGATTATATAATGCTTCTTACTCTAAACACATGATAATGTCTCTTCCTGCAAAATGTAGACTGATGTGTTAGTGTTATGATACTCTTCTAACGTACATGCAAACTATTACCTATTTCCTTTTGGACACCAGAATCACTAATATTTATGTTAGAAATCATTCTAGAACTAAAAAAAAGGGTAGCCCGGTGCACGAAGCATCCCAGTGCTAGAAGAAGTTATCAGTAAGGGATTGAATATATTGAACACACTTCCAGTGCTTTATGTTACTTTCAAAAGAACAAATTATTGTAAACTTTTCATACTGTCTTGAAAAATATCTATTATGAAAGTCTTGCCTGTGACATGCATAAATAATGAAAAACTAAATGCAAAACTTTATAATACAATAAAACAGTTCCTGCTTTACTTCATTTGTTTGATAATAGCATCAGAACAATAGACGTCAGGTTCAATATTTAAAGTACTTCCATTTAAAAATAAATAAATTTAAACTGTTAGTATCATCTTTCTTTTTGATAGGTAAGGTACTGTTATTAATCTGCATTGATAAGGTGCTAACATATTTAGAGCAAAAAGGATTTTTCTCCCGTAACATTCCATGGAGTCCAAAAGCTAATAAAAGTATTTGTGTCCTTTACGTATCTCAAGTTACACAAAGAATCCAGAGTTTGCAGTGTCCTATATTTCATGCACAAAGTGTGTCATTGCATTTCCTTCAAAAAGTCTGAAGTTTCTCTCCTTCCAAACCATCCACAAGATGCACACTGGTTCCCCAAACTGTCTGGAGGCTTCTTCTTCATTTTCTTTCCTTGCCAACTGCCATCAGCGTCCTTCCCTATTAGGGCATAACCCATTGCGGACCAACTAAATTGTCGCGTACCATCTTTTTTTTGTTGTATTTCTTCTCTTTTGATATTTGCAAGATATTCATGTAAGTTTCCTGATTGTTTTGCATAACAGCCTTGCCTATTGGAGAATATGCTGCTGTTGCGCTCTTGTTATTTTTTGGTCTCAAATCAATTAAAGATGCGTGGGAACTTCCAAGTAAAGAGGTAGAGGCTGGTGAAAAGAGTAATCAGGAACTTGATGAATTTGCGGAAGCTGAGGAGCTTGTGAAGGAAAAGGTGAACAAGCTGCTGAATGCCACTCTAAAATACTGTATAATTCTCTGATAATTCTGCACTTCCAAAAGTTTTAAATGTCACAACATGTATTTGTGGGAATGACTTCTTTCTTTGCACCACTTGCATTTTTGGAAACCTGGTTCTAACCATTTTATAGATGGCTATTTCAGGCATCGAAAAAGCTCACAAATCCACTTGAAATTTTGTGGAAGTCCTTTAGCCTTGTATTTTTTGCTGTAAGTATCTTCTTCTGGTTGCAACATTGTTTCTTTGCTGCTTTATTTTTTCAAATCCAAAGCCAATGCAAAACTTGCGATATTCTAGATACCAAGATACCGATTCCTTTTCTTTGAATCAAGTAAGGAATGTATTCATTAATAATGGGGGAAAAAATATCCCGTATACAAGAGTTATACCAAAAAAAGAGAACCTACAAAAGACATGGTTCAAGCTTGGATGACTGTCAACATTTATTAATTCAAAAATCCAGTTATATGAATAATTATTTATCTGCTGGATATCTTAATAATCTTCATGTAAGAAGTTCTTTGAATGTGACATGGAACACAACAACTAGTTGTTTCCTTAGGTCGCATTTTTAACATTGAAAGTATAGAAAATTTTATGTAACTATGTCCAGCTTTTAAAGAACAGTAAGACCTGTTATAATATTCAATTAGGAATGTAATGCATCCTATGCTTCTCAGGAATGGGGAGATCGATCCATGCTTGCTACAATAGCGCTTGGTGCAGCTCAGGTACAGTTCTTAGGACATTCAACACTAACAATATGCTTTTTAGCTTTTGACAAAATTCAGTTTCAAAACATCTCCAACTTCCACTTCCTCACTTCCATTTTTGCAGTCTCCGTGGGGCGTGGCAAGTGGTGCCATTGCAGGACACCTGGTTGCGACATCTATTGCAATACTAGGAGGCGGGTTTCTTGCCAATTACATTTCTGAGAAACTGGTAAGACAGTTCTAAAAGTTCCTTTTTTCCGCTCAAAACAAGTGTATTTTGTATTCTAAGCATCTTCATCTTGGTTCGATACAGGTTGGCTACTTGGGCGGAGTCCTATTTTTAATATTTGCTGTTGCTACTTTGTTTGGAGTGTTTTAACCAAGTGTTACATATGAGAAGACGAAAAGACCAGATAGATAGTCGAGAACATTGGTAGTGGTAGAGGGCAGGAAACTACCATCAGATCAGTAATATGTTCATGGCGTAAAGCAATACATTCTTGTACTGTAGCATTAGTAGAGCCAGCTATATTAGTGGTCTTTAGGCAACACATGAGAGTTGTATTTACAATGCTGATAGGACCGTTGAGAAGAGGCTTTTCCCTAATTGTTGTACAAGTTTTGTATGAATATGTGAAAGAATCAGGATTTGTGTTTCTTCTGTTGTAATAAATTCTACAATTATTTATGATTTAAAAGTTGTAATATTTGTGTCCTTCAAGTTTCAAGTTGGCATTGTTCAAGTGGTAGGAGTGCCACACCAGCAAGTGTTTGATGCTTTTCAACATTCCATCTGCTATTTGTCACTAAATTTCCATCCAAGTTCAAACAAATACTTATGTACTGATTTTCAATGGTTGAAAGGTGTGGCGAGAGGGAAAGTTGTAAGCCACAACTCTCAGAGTTTGGAACAGTTATGGTAGTTCAAAAATTATGCAAGAACAGACGTACTTGTTATATATCAAGAAAAGATGCAACAGTTGTGAAATCTGTTGAGAGTATTCCACATTGGTTGAGGGAATATTTGTTATCTCCTTATATGACATTGAACAATTCTCACTTTGTAAACTAGCTTTTGGGTTGAATTCGACTCAAAATACATTTTCTTAACATAGTATTAGAGCCAGATCTATCCCAATGTCAACCCCTCATATTATGTTGTCTACTTTCCAGATGTCCAACCCTACACATGAAAGGTGTCCTATATTGGTTGAGGGGATGGCCATTGCCTCCTCGTATGGTATTGGACAATGCTCACTTCATAGTTAACTTTGGAGTTTGAGTTATGCTCCCATTTTCTTAACAAAATCTTGATGCTTGTGGTTGAATGAAACTGATCTAATAATATCTGATATCCAAGCTTACAGACCGTGAATGCATTCTAAAGCATGGTCATGCAACAAAACTTTAAATTACCATCTGAAAAGAGAGGAGAATAGATAACATAGATGCTCTATCACAATGCAAAAGGACTTAGTTCTAAGACATGAAAGAAATTTGTGGGAATTGATTTCTATTGCCTCAACAGTACTAGCCAATCCAATATACAACCTCCCTTTTGAAAAAACTGAATATACAACAATCAGCTTTCTGTCAAAATTGCTGACATAAAACTACATGATGCACTTGGTGGCTCGTGTGAATCTTTTCGAGTCTCGGGCAAAAAGAAAGTATCTTTGAGTCTTCTTCTCTTTTGTATGTTGCTCATCTTGAGGGAGCTCTATTCGTAGACACATCGGCTAGACTGAAATGTACCATTGCTGAAGAGCTCAATAAAATGTTTTTCCAGCCTCTTTGCTCCTGGACCTGGTCTTAGAACTTCAGCATCTCCCCAAAGAGTACATTTGTCAGTTTCATTATCACCTAAACACCATCCGCCAGGCACTGGTTCATCGTACTTGTGGTGGAGAAGTTCACGGTCTATCTGGTCAAGAATCGGATCATTTGCCTTAATTAGTGTGGCAAATGCTGCTCCACTCATCACCAGGTCATCAAAGTCACTGGAATTGAGTTCACGAGCCTCTTGTCTTGAGTTAAATGAAGCATACTGCATGTTGTGGTTGATTGTAGTTTTATTGAACTTTCGTGAATTGCACAAAATGGTAGGGAAGTAAACAGATGCCGAGGATGGTGAATTTGACAAGTACATTAGCAGAGTTCTTGGTAGGTTATCTGTGCCTAAGATGCAGAACTCGATAAACTTCCGACTCAAAATAGCAGATGAAGACCCTGGAGCCAGGAGGAAAAGTTTGTTAGTATTGGGATTAACATATTAAGCCAGTAACACTAAGATTTTACATGGCATGCCTTTACAAAGTTTCTAAAAATCAATGCTACCAAAAATTCAAAACAATACATATAACTAGGAAAGAGTACTACCCTTTGATGTTTGCAAAATAGGCTCACCTTTAGAAATGTTTTTAGGAATTAAGATGTTTTCTCAGGGAAAGACACTGATCGTGCTCACACATTGTTAAAACACTACAAGTGGAGCTAATGCTACAAGAGACAAATTTTTGCCCGTAACCAAATCAAAGAAAATATTGCCACTAAAAACTCAAGAAGTCCTAACACCTTCCTTCCACCTCCTCTAGAACAGGTGAATCTCCACCATCCAAGACTTTGAATACCATTACCAATGATATCACAACGAGCTGAGGAGATCAGTTTTGTATCAGCCACATTTGCCGGACACTAAGAAAATCCATTAGCTCTACAGAAGATTAAAGGAAAATCTCGTCTCACCTCTCTCAGGGAGGAAATATCAGCAACCAAACGAAATTTTGACCAAGGGAAACCAGAGAGATCGAGATGGAAGAAGAAGTTGAGGTTGAGGAATCAAGTTTTTTTTGTTGCTGAAGTAAGAGTAAACTCAAGCTGACTTTCAGCTAATAGTGAAGGATAATGTTAGGCTAGAAGAAGTTATCAGTACAGATGGCTGCGATTGTGTCAGTAACCTTCGCCATTTAGTAACAATGAAGGGCGAAATGGACTTTGCAGAGGAGGATGAAGGGCCGGTATCAGATGACAAGTGATGGAGGAAAGTGCAATAGAGAAATTACCTTGAGAACTGTTTCCAAGAAAGAAAGGGTTAGAAAAGTAAAGAAAAGAGGTATATTTCGGGATTACTTTCTCTGTGCATCTTTTTATTCTTCAACTTCCGAACTAATAAATGCAGTCATAATTTGATAAAGTCAAGCTTCTTTTCCTTTTGAACGCAAAAACTTGATATACTTTTGATATTTTGAAGACTAAACTGTGCCAACACATTGTGTGCATGTTTATCTTATAAAATATCTTTTCGCAGTTTCCTCAAGCCTTATGTCAACCATTCAAGCAAGTTTCTATTAATTCCCAACTGCAGCAATCATTTCATTTTCACACGTCCGTGCCTAGTTCGTTATTAAAAATCTGTTCGGTTTTTAAAGTATCCAAAAACACTCCAACATTTTCACACCTCCTTGCCCTTATAACTTATCCAAAAAGGTTAGTTCCCAAAAAAAAGGGGGGGAGGGTGGGGGGTGCTTCTCAAGGTCAAGGCTAAAATAATAGACTCTTGGGATATGTTGTAGATTCAGAGACTGAAAGATTTTGATTCCAAACTAAAGTCATTTTGCTAAGTGAATAGTGTAGCTAAAATGGCAATAGTTATGGCCACCTAATTTAGCAACTTCTACATAAAGGCTTGGAGAAGGATGGACACTTAGGGGCACTCAGATGCTTATGCTTTCTAACCAAACACTTGAAACAAAGTTATGCCCTCTTAAGTACTTTAAATTTTTTAGTCATCTGCTTTAGTCGATACCTTTTGGTGATATTGTTCTAGAGAGAAATGCAAAATTGCGCAGTAACTGATACATTATAGAAGAGTGAAGACCTTGTTGAAACAAGTGGTTTTGCTTGCTGCTGCTAACTACTAAGACACTAAGACGAGTAGACGACTGTTTGATCAACAAATGGACCTAAGAACATTACTGCTACCTAGTTGCATCTCAAAGTTACTTTTTTAATCTTTATTTTCTACTTCACTTATTTATCTTTCTTTTTAACAGGAGTAAAGATTGTGACTCAGTGTTATAGTTGTCTACTTCATATCAAGACTGTTTTTCTTCAATCAATCATTCAAGGGAATTAAATAACACAAGCATATTCATTCTTCATCAATCATAATGCAGAAAATATGACCACAATCTGACCTGAGAATAATTGATAAGCATCGGGCAGTTCCCTCTTTTGAGTTGCAAAAAATACTTCATCTTCTTCTGCAAGATAGAGCCCAGGATCAACAACTATTGGTTTCAACTTCCGTGACCTGGAACATCCAACATAGTCATATATTAAGATCTAAAGCAATACATTACTTGCTTCTATCTATACTCATATATGCTTAAACAGAAGAGATAGAAACTTATAATACGAAAAGGAAATGGCCATACTCTCTCCACCCTATGTAGCTTGTGTGGTTGACAAAATTAAGATCCTTGGGAAGATATGACAGAATGTGTAGAAGATCTGAAAATCAACAGTAAATAGCATCAGATAACTCATCAGTCATTACCAAAGTGAAAGCGAGCTGTAGTGAGAAATGATTCCAATTAGATAAACATTGATTAGATCTAATTGTAATGCCTGTAAGTAAATAAAAACTAGCGGAAAAGGAAATCCATCTGTCCATGTTCAACAGCAAAATATAACATCTGTTAACACCAGAGTCAAGAAAAAGAACCAGCTTACATCCTACAAATAGGCAATCCAAATGCCAATGAACTCTCTCAAGTAATCATATCTCACTGGAGGGGGGGGGCTCAAACTAATTGTCGTTGAATTACTCCTGGAAACAGTTTGACAAAAAATATTGGGGTGGGTTGGTGGTGGCAGGGAGTAGGCAAACACCAACTTCACTTGATACAAATTTTCCTCCAGTTTGTGGAACTGGAACAAGTTCGCGATTAACTATTCACTAGCGTTGAGCTTCTTTAGGTCATACATCTATATTATTTAATTAACCTTTGACCAAAGGATAGTATTATCTCTTTCTTTCCGATGCCTTTCTCGGCTTTTGGCTAAGATCAAGTGTACCATTTGTTCTTATCAGTTTAGTATCTTTTTTTTTGTTTTTGACAAGTCATAAGGAGAACAGTTTCTTGAGTTAAAGATTACTTGAAAGCTTAAAGTAACAATCTAAATATCCTAATCACTTTCTTTGTTTGGCATTTGTCGAAGAAGAGAGCCAAGACAAGCTCAAGTCACCAGGATAAGTCTTTGTTTGTTTAACATTGAGTTGAATGCAGACACAAAGTTGCTACTTTTAAAAAAAAAAAGGATAACAATTTGGATCCATAAGGTCCAAAGTCACACTATATCAGTTCCACAGTGACCTATTTCTGCTAAGGGCGGTAACTACATAAATGAACTTCTCCTACAACTGCAGTACATGGAAATACTTGCATGATGACTGGATAACTCCTTACCACAGAAAAGTGTACTCACTACCAAATAAATGAACATTCTACTAATAAATATTCCAAGTTTAGCAAAATGTAATTAGGATCCTAACTCCACGAGAAAAAATCCGTCTATTCATACATACACACTACAGTTATTCAACAAACACTAAAAAAAGAACACATCTTTAAACATTATCCAATATGCAAATAGTCTTGAATAACAATTGGCAATCAGCGGACACTAAATCTAGTAATGAACAGTTAACAGAGATCATCAAATTAGTAAAGATGAAGGGAAGGCTTGGAGCAACGGTAAAGTTGTCTCGTCTCTGTATAGGTCACGGGTTCAAGCCGTGGAAGCAACCACTAATGCTTGCATTAGGGTAGGCTGTCTACATCACATCGCTTGGGGTGCGGCCCTTCAGCGGACCCTGCTTGAATGCGAGGTTGTGTACCGGGCTGACCTTTATCAATTAGTAAAGATACTAACTGCAAAAAGATTAACACACTACAATTACTCAACAAACACTAAAAAAGAACACATCTTTAACCATTATCCAATATGCATAGAGTCTTGAGTAACAAAGGGTTTGCAGAGACCAACAATTAGTAAAGATACCAAACGCCAAAAAGATTAAATCTTTCACACACTTCACAAAAAAGACTAAATCTTCACACATATTTCACAAAAAAGATTAAATCTTTAGACATAAATTTCATACCATCTTGAGTAACAAGTGGATAATCAGCAGCAGAGAGATTAATAAACCAATCCCAATGAGTAGAGACACGGAGAAGAATGGAAGCTCCATGAAGTGTAGCAGACAAAGCAGAAGAGCCAATTGGGTATACAAAATCAGCTTTACCAATAAAATTCACATTCTGTGCAGCTTTAAAAAGTGGTACAGATTGAATATACAGTGCAAGATTGTCACGTTCAGATTGAGAAGCTTTTTTATTAAGATGAAGTAAATACTGGTTTCTTGGATGGTAAATGGAAAAGAGCAAACGGATGATTCTAGAAGAGTCTTGAGTGGATCCAGAAATGAGGTAAGCAATGGAAGGGGGGGTGGGGAGAAGGGCATTTTGGTCATTTGGGTTGGTGGGGTTGTGATGAAAGAGGAGACGATGAGGTTGGTGATTGGGGAAAAGGGAAGGGTGGGG